AGAGAAAGTTAATGGTTGGTTACTTTTACACCAATTTTGATAACATCATGAATATTTTTACCTTTTTTTTCACTTTAAGTTATTGGATGTTTTTGGTCGATCACTTGGTAAGTATTTTTACCCATTTACCCTTCAAATATTGAGAGGTCAAAGTATAAAACGAAACATATTTGCTATTAATTTCAATACTCTACTCGATAGGTATATATCTAAAAGCCCCTGTATGAAGTAATTATTTTAGAAGGTTTCTCTTTGAAATTCATCTTCAACACTACACAGTGTAGATGATTGAGTCAGAAGATGATCAATCACAATTAAACAATTCTCCCTGCTTGGGCTTGCAATGCTACTGATTTAGGCTATGCTAATTTTTTTGAGTGATTCTAATGATAAGAAAAGAATGCATCTTGAAAACAAGGATTACTTTTTTGCTCCTATGTCTCAAGGAGGTCTAGGTATCAAGTCATCTGCCATTGTTAACAAGTCATTGTTAATTGAACAACTTTGTAGAATCTTAGATGCTGAACCTCATTCAATGTTAGCTAATACTCTCAAGGTCAAACTCATCAACATGAATTCATCTCCTTTGCTCAAGAAGACTTACAATTCTTGTTGATTTTGGAAAGGCATTTCCTCATGTGTCGATATTTTAGTTTCAAAGTTGAAATGGAAAGTTCGATCCGGTACAAGAATCCCTCTTAAGAATCCACTTTGGTATCTTGTTCAGAATGCCAAATCATGCTTTAGATGTCAATTCTCTCAAATGTGGATTTAATGCAACCTCATTCTTTTGGTAGGCAATATCATGAGGGGAATCATCAATTTCTTTGCACATTCCTCTTCCTCTTACTTATCAAGAGGATAAACTCATTTGGACTGGTTCAAGTCATGGAGAGTATACTACTCAACAAGGTTTCAAAGTTCTTTCATCTTCAAGTAGTGTGCAACTTCCCCACTAACAAATGCTATTTGGAAGTTCACGTAGAAATTAAATTTGCCTTTCAAATATGTTCTCTTCATTTGGAAACTTATTCATAGAGCACTTCCAGTTGGCAATATGTTGGTTGAATATCATATCTCTTGCAACGTATAGTGTCCTTTTAGTTGCTCTGCAGCTGAAACTCTAGACCATCTTTTTGCTTCTTAGGACATCTTCATTTTCGTGTGGTGATCTTAAAAATTGCTTACTACATATTTTTCAACAATTATATGTTAGTAACTCAATTGAACAGCTTACTTATATTATTGTTTTCTTGAACTTACTAGCTAAGGCACGTTAGAAATCAGCTTATTCACCAAGGAATCCCTCAATGCTCTGTCGGTTTCTTAGATTTTTTCACAAACAGTGTTTTGTGTTAGAAAATGTGTTTTCTCTTGGAATGTTAATTATCATTTTGGAATAGCTCCCCAAACTGAGTCTTTTACCTCTATCAATGATGATTATTCAGGATGGATATATTTGGACCCAAAATGAGGTGATGTTTAATTAGAGCCCAAAATAATGAGAAACAAAGCGTTAGGCCTGTACAAATGAAAAGTTAGACCCAATAAGTCTTCAAATAAAGCAAATCCTAGCTAGTCTAAAGGAAACCTCCTTGACTAAGTGAGTGTTGAGTCGTGAAAAAGATATAACTTATAAGACTCAGAATGACTAAATCATAAAGATAGTTATCTAGGCATGGGACCATTACTTGATGTGCCCTGAATATTGTGAGCCCATGCCAATGGAAGTGGATATTTTAGCATGAGTATCCAAGATCCTTGTTTGGCAGATATAATGTCATCAAAGGAGCATTATAAATAGGGTTCAACCAAAGAAAAAGAGGGTAGACAATAAACACAAACACTAAAACTTCATCACTGTACCTTTTACATTGCTTTGCACTTAGGATTTTAGCTCTTCTTCTTCTTCACTTTCTTGAACTTCTGCAACTTTATGTAACTTTATGCCTTTAATCAAATTATTTTCCTTCAAACGTCTACTACATCTTTGCATTTGGGTAATCTATGGTAAGAAAATTTGGGAACCCCTGTCTGTATTGAGACACTATGTCTCTAGCACATCTGGAAGTATACAACCATGAACAAGATATTTAGGATTAACAAATCCAAATCTCATGGATTTGTTCTTTATCAAATTAGGATCTTCCTCCATGATCAATTCTTGCATGGGTTATGGTTAGAAAGCAAAATCACAATTCAAATCTTTTTCTTCCTTTGTCTTTGTGTTGCTATATGGTGGGTTCGTAATTTACGCTAAAAAATTATGGATCAGTCAGTTTGAGTTTGAAGATTTTTTTCTTTGAAAGGAATTACCTCAAGAATATCCCCTCAAGCAGGAAAAATAGGGATGTTGTGATTGAAGATCTTCGTGTACTATTTGCCTCATTTCAACCCCTAATCCTTCAGGCTGTTCAGGAGGGCTTTTTCTTTTCTCTGTTTAATTTTTCTCCTTGGTTTTGTGATGTTTATTCTATAACTTGAACATTTTCTTGTATGCTTCAAGGTTTTAAGAAATTGCTTCTTTTAAAAAAATCACAATAAAAAAAGAGGGACCAGGCTAGATCAACAAGAAAGGTTATGCGTGCTAACGTCAAGTAAAAAAAAAAAGAAATTGATAATTAAGGATCCCATAAGACAATTGATTATGATTTGGGATCTAAAATATTGAAATCCAAATAATGAATCATGCTCGTTACTTAAAATTAAATACATATATGAATTTACAAAATTATCTTTGAGTGCTGAAATTAATATGATGAGTTTGAATTATTGTTAATTAATCTCAGTTGAGAAAATCAAAATCTATACTTGAGAATAAGATCACAATAGTCCTAACCCATAATAGTAATTTCAATAGTCCAAACCCATAACATAGGGATCATGGTTTTTTCAATTGAGGCTAACAATAGTCCCAATTGATGATAGTAATTTTAGTTGTATCTTTTATTAATTTTTCAAGTAATTTACTTATCTATTAATAAGTATAAAAACTCACAAGTGATTTTCAAAAGTGACTTTGATAAATTTTCAAGTAACTATCATATATTCATAAATAGGGATCATGGTTTTTTCAATTGAGGCTAACAATAGTCCCAATTGATGATAGTAATTTTAGTTGTATCTTTTATTAATTTTTCAAGTAATTTACTTATCTATTAACAAGTATAAAAACTCACAAGTGATTTTCAAAAGTGACTTTGATAAATTTTTAAGTAACTATCATATATTCATAAATACCTATCGAAAGTTTCACAAGTGAATTTTAATTATATATTGGGAAACAATTCATTCCCAATTGTGGATCTTTATTTTCTCAAATAAAGTTAACAATAGTCTCTATCCATCATAGTAATTTTAATAATTTTTTTTATTTTTCAACTGAGTGTAATTTTGTAGATCTATATATGTTTTTAATTTCAGATAGGACTATGATCCATTATTGAGATTTTAATAATTTTGATGTCTTAATTGTAATTAATAGTCCTATAAGTCCTTAATTGTCATTATTCCAAAAAAAAATGTACTGTTCATGTAAAAAAATTTCTGATGAATGAAAAAAGTTTTATCAGATGATCGGAAAAATTAAATAAATCTTGAAACTGTAATTGTTTAAAGCAGCCAACGCAAATTTGAACCAACCGTCGGCGAAAAGTTAAAGTAAAATATTAGAAGGAGACAGAGACCGATAAAAAGTCGATGAGATACAACTTTGGAAAAGGGTTACATAGAAGACGCAAGATCATTGACTCATGGGCTTTGATTTTGTAAACGCCCTTTGGATGCAATGAAAATATAAGAAATATATGCTACGGCTTTAGTGTGACTGTACTGCGTAGCTTCATTCTCATTTTACGCCGTTAAACAATATCACATCTGGCTTCCATGACAAAGTCAAAGGGGCAATTTTTTCTAATCCATTGCTTACCAAGTTCGATCGTTTTGTAGTAGTTCGATCGGTTGGTCCTGTAATCTTAGGATCTTTTTTTTTTAAAAAAACATGATCAAGGCATAATAATGTTTTCTTTAATTCATCAAGGTAAAATTAAAATTTGTGTATTTTTATATATAAAAGGTAAAGCAATCTAATAATATTTTTAATAAATAGTGTCTGAAATTCAAGTGACTGGAAGGAGTATTTTGATGTTAATTTCTTTCCAAGAATTACACTCCCCGGAATACCCCGATGTTTATTTCACATTACATACGTCAGGTTATTTCACATTGAGATTTGTCCGCTGTCTTGATCCGCCCTTGATCAAACCAACGGGCTTGATTAATTAATTTAATTAAGGAGGGATAATCAACCGCCAAGGTAACCGATGGTAAGCCTTATACTCCTGATTATAATATAAATTATAGTTAAATAATTTATGATTTAAATATTAGTTGAAGTTTTTAATTTTTAATTCTTATAAGCGCAAACATTTTTCCGTTTATATCCTTATTAAATTAAATATCCTATATAAAAAACTTGATAATAATAATTAAAATTTTAATATAATAATAATAAAATTTTAATACATAATTTTTTTAAAAAAAATAAATGAAGTAAGAATATAGTTAAAAAAAATAAATATAAAATTTATATAGTACCTTACAAATAAAATTTTAAAATGTTTTATATTGTAACCTGGATTAACATTTTTCCCTTGATGAATTAGTTACTACGAAAACGAGCTTCTAGAAATTCGTTACAAAAGTTGACTTTGATGGCAACGAAGATTCATCCGCTCACACGTTGAGTTGCCCAAATTCCTTTCCAAGAAACCCAATTAAACTTGGCTTGCACTTTCCATTAACTCCCGACAAACAAATCGATGCCATACCACACAACTTCAGACTAACAACGCATTCTATTCTATTCTATTCTATTCTATTCTTAATCGCCCTTTCTTTTTATTAATTCCTTGATTGCACGACACCCACGAATCCAAATTTTCCCTTGTAAATTTTGATCAGTGTGCTCGGGGAAAACTATATACCATGTAGAAGCAGAATCTAAAGAACAAGCTCAGAGAGAGGGCAAAAAATATGTACAGTGTAATTACAAGCCATCTATTATCACTCACTAATCAGTAATTTCTATATATACCACATGCAAAGCGCTCCAATAACTGCGCACCAACTAACCTATACGTCTAATATGAAATATCTGCATTGACCAGCCGCGTCACTACCAACACTGGTCCGTTTCCCAGTTCCGGCCGCTGTAACCGGAGTATGCCGACGAGGCGGACAAAGGCCTCTGTCGACGGACGAAGAGGCTCCTGTCGTAGGTGGCGCGCTTTTCGGGGTCCGACAGGGTGGAGTAGGCAGCGTGAATCTTCATAAACTCGTCCGCCGACGAATCCTTCCGATCCACCGCCGCCACGTCCGGATGGCACACTCTGGCTAACCGCCTGTAGGCCGCCTTAATCTCCTGAAGAGACGCTCCCGCCGGAATTCCCAGAATCTCATACAGCGACGTGCACGAAGACACACAGCTGGAGCTCAGATAGGAGGATCTGGATTTCGGTTGCTCCGTCCAGGCAGAGCGAGATTCCGTCGCAGTGGCGGAGGCGGCGATCAGACGGATTGGGGTGGGATGAGGAGAGGTCGGCGGCGAAGGGGAAACAGACTTGCCGGAGAAACAGGTGGCGGGAAGCGGGGGAGGGCGAGAAAAAGGAAGCATGTTCCGGAACAACGCGATGCCGTACGCGTAAGCCAAGACTCGGGCGAAGGCAGAAGAGGAATCGGGCGGTATTTATAAAGGAGGTGGGGATGCGGGATGGAGGAATGGGGCCCAGGTGAAGTGCGGTGGAGCTGTGCGGGAGTAAAATAAGACCTATTCAATGAGCATTTTCCTAGGAGCTGACTCAGCACGCGACTGGCTTTATCCCTGTTAGAAGTGCCCTTGCCTATCAAAGAAGATCCCAAGAAGCATATAAGAGCAGCTTAGATCACGAAAATGGCATCGAATAAATAATAAATAAATTGGAAAAAAAATCCGGAGGCGAAAGCTGGAGCGTGTAATGACTGATGTAGAACAGGGTTGGAAGAGGGAGGTGGCCACCCCACCAAATGGCACATGGTGTGTCTACACACTTTACGTGTCTCGCCCTCCTCTTGTTTCCTGAATCTTGACTCTGTTCACTGCACTCTACCATCATATCACGCCCACACTTTCTCGTTCCTTATAAAGTGCTTCTCGTTGCTATGCACTTCCTTGCCTCTCTTTCTTGCACCACACACCTTGTTCCCTCTCTAAGTAACCAACATGCTACAACCTCCTTGCTTCACATATATTTTATCTTACTGTTGCACGACTTCATTAGATATTCCATCCATCCAATCCATCTTATACGTTGTAGGGTCACATCACATCTTTTTGAAATTGCTCGCTATCAGTTTTCATTCAAACAGATATTATTAATTTGATAAAATTTAACGGGAAAAAAAATAACTAGGACTGAGTTTCAAGAGAGATTCTCAGAACTGAGAGTCCAGAGATGAAATAGAATAATGAAGAAAAGGCAACAGCAGACCTCTCTTTTTGCTCGCCCATTCCTATAAATATCCAATAAAACCCAAACCCAACTTGAGTTCTCTCAAAGATTGATGAGGCAGGCCCCACCACGGCGTTGTTACCATTCTTTTCAATTTTCACATACTCTAGTCTGTACCATTCGTTTATGTATTCTTTTCTGATTCTTATGTGTTCCTTCTCTACCAAAAATATCTTAGCAGCATCCCACCACCACAAAACACTCAGGTTCATCCATTACTCTCCAATCAATTATGAAATGATGTCTCTTTCGATCGGTACATCATCGGCCAGAACTTGCTCCTTATTTAAGAAGAGCGAAAGAGCATGCATGAATTGAACTCGACTAGTGGGATGCTGCTCACGTCTGTAATCTATAGGGTCCTCCTTCCGGTTCGATCTGATATGATGACAAGACGTATATGTTCTAGCAGAGCATGCTAGGTGATTCCCTTCCCACCCCCTCCAACTCCACACCTTTACTCCCCATCGGTCAGTTAATTTCTAACTTGTGAGCAGAATCTCAACTATAGAAAATTTAAATTCAAATAAATACTGACGCCGCAACTGTTTCCTTTTTATCATGACGAGTCTTGCAATATTGACCCAAAACGAATATTACAGTACCTTACGAAAATAATTAAAACTAACACCGTTAGCATTAATTACGTGTTGTTGGACTCCTCCTTGATTGACTCGTTGTTTATGCAACTAATGACTTTTTGTACTATTGCTTATAAAGAATTGTGGCTCCAATTATCATAATGATGATAGTTTATCATCTCCCTCTAGTTTTATATATTTTCATGAAATAAACAACACCGCAGTTGAAAATAGGTAAAGAACGAGGCAAAAGAATCAATCTTCAATATAATTCCAGCTCAATCATTATTAGGATGGTTGGTTGCATCCTAGACTTGACGTCACCTTCCTACTTTAGCTAATTAATGTTGCCAACATACAGTTGCAACCATTGCTCGTCTTGTTTGTCTATCTGCCTTGGAATCTCTCCAAAATTTCAATGCAGCGTAAACGTTGACAAAACAACTATCGATTTCCTTGTAAGACGAAAATGTGTTAACGATTTAGTTACCGCCCATGGGATAACGTGACTGGACATAGCTCAAACACACTGCACAACCCATGGCAATGGGTGCCCTTTCCGGCTGTTCTTGGTGTTTCTGCTACTAGCATCAACAACATTACAAGTCAAAACTAATTAATTTTAGCATTTTTTACAAGTCAAAACTAGGTAATTTTTACAAAAAATTTGTGACACAGTAGGGCAAGCCACCCTAAATCCGTCCGCTTCTTAGCTTCCATAAAAATATGATCAAAGATCATGATCCAGTTTATCCATTTTAAGGTCTCTAATTTTAATGATGGTACTATAAAGAGAGTGATTCTGGAAATATTCATGTTGGATCTTGGATGTGATATAAAAAGCTTTAATAGGGTCACGATGAATATTTATTTTGGTAAAATTCTCATTTCAACTAAGATTTAACCCTTCAAGAATACTCAATAATGTCGCTTCTTTGCTAGAGAAAAGGCCAAAATATACAATAAATTCTTTTATCCAATTGTCATGTTCATTTCAAATAAATCCAGCACAAGTTGTAGCTCCTTTAATTTCTTTCATTCACGAATCCATCTGTATCAGGGTTGACCCAACCATTGTGAGGAGCAATCCATCTGGAGTAGAGGTCTCTTTGTCTTGAAGTATAAGCCTTAATGTTTGCCTCTAGCTTAAGATCGTGGATATACTGATAACAACGAGGGAGAATCCCATTCAAGGCATCCAAAAGCAAGAAATTTGAAAACAAGGTCCAATGAAATCTCAAATTATTCTAACGGGCCAAAGGTCTTATTTGTAATTATGTTTTCTATTGAAATTACACATTCACCCATCCCATAATCAGCTACTATTCGACGACTCTCTTCTTCTTCCTTACTCTTCCTTCTCTCTCTTCCTCTTGTCTTGCATTGATCACTAATTGGGTTGATGGTGGCAAAAGCAAAAGATGTGTGAGTCTTAGATCACCATTCTTCTTCCTCACTCTTCCTTCTCTCTCACTTCAGATCTTGTATTCAATCTTAGGATAGAGGATGGTTTAGCCTAAAATTGTGAAGATGGTGAACCCAGGGTATCTGGGTAAGACTTTGCTTTGATGCTAAGAGAGAAAAGGGCATTGGTCTAGGTTCTATTTTATGTTTCCTTTCCAAGCAATCATATTGATCATTTTCCTTTGTTTTCTTTAGTAAAAAAGGGTTGTTGACTTCTCTATAACTTTTTCCCCTCTTAGTTCATAGACTATTTAGTTTGCCATTGGAAAATTGTACTTCGTCTAACATGCTTCTATTGGTATTGTTTTTGGTGGTTTTTTGTGTGGACATGCCAGAGGAGCTTGTCCTTAAAAAGTGCAATGTTCTTGACTTATAAAATCAAACAGTGAGTTCCTGGGATCTTTTATCATAATTTTTCTAAATGCAAGTGCTTAAAAGTAAAGGGAATGAAGAAACAAAGATGAATTACATGGTAGGAGTATACATGATATCGATAATGGTAAAAGATAAATTATAAGAAATAAAAGATTGAAAAAAGAAAAAGTATCAGCAGGCTATTACTGCTATTCTACTAGGAGCTGGCACTCTACTAGATAGTGGCTAGAGAACTCATTTCTCTTTATTGGATGTGCAGTTAAGGGTGCTATGTTGAATGTGCTAAAGGATAAAAGAAGTGGCATTGAGCAAAGTAAAAGATGTCGTAGAGTCAATGTTTGAGTTTTGCACTGGGCAAGTAGATTGATTTGTTGAAAAGATGTCTATAGAGATATGTGTAGAGTTTTCTGTAGGGTTAAAGAAGGCTCTTGTGTATTTGGTTACTTCTCCTTTTATAGACACAACGTGGCATTTTCCCTGTGGCTCTATGTTCTAATTTTTTTAAGGCTACTTACTAACATTCTCCTTAAACTTTCTATACTCTTTTCCATTTTTAAAGTGGTACATTGTTTCATTTTCATAACAAGCAACCATCTTAATTCTAGAAGACACATGTCTTAGGTTAAAATTATTATTTTTAGCCTAAATAGTTGGGCTTGGGGCCAAAATTAGATTTTAGCCTAAATAATGTTCCTTACATACAAATTTGGCTGACTTCGTTGTAGATTGAGTTTGTATAAATATTTAAATTGTTCTATCCTCTATACATTCTTGTTGTACATAGTGTGAAACTTGGGGTGCTAGCCCTTTTTAATCCACATTTCAAGTGGCAAATCGGCTTAAGGAACTAGCTCACTGAAAGGTTTTGGGTGTGGATCTTACTCTCTATTTGATCCCAAAGGTATGGACTTCCCTTTTAGTTTATTAGCCCATGATAGTTAGGTATTCTTAGAAAGTTTCCCTCGAGCTCTTCATCTATAATTGATTTTGAAAGTTAAGAGCTAGCCTTTAGCTCATCATCCTCACAGGACTCATCCTCTAAATCATTAGAAGAATGCCTCCCGAGCTCTTCGAAAAGGCTTAGTTCTAAAGGTTAAGAGTCAACCTTAAGCTCATTGCACTCATAGAGCTCATCCTCAGAGCTATAAAAGGAGTGCCCCTAGGCTCTTCAAATATGCTTAGTTCTAAAGGCCAAAAGTCAGCCTCTATTTCATCATCCTTGTAGAGCTCATCCTCAGAGTTATAAAAAGAGTACCCCCGAGCTTTTCAAGTACTCTTGAGGGATTCATTATAACTCCTATGAGCTTTATCTCTTTATTAAGCCCTTTATTTTATTAGAAGTATTTCTTCCTTGAAGCGTTCTTGACATAGCTAGGTCTTTAACTTATTGATCTTAGCTTTATGTTTTATCTCTTGCTCGAAACATTTACTGTGCTCTTCTATAGTTGTGATAAATTTCCATAGAGCCTATTGGATCACTTCTTGATACTCTGTGTTGTGATGCAAAGTTGCCAATGTCTATTCAAGATTCCAATATGCAGCTACGAAGTTAGCCTACACCTTAAAGCTCTACTCATCATACTCATTCTTGGATTGTAATAGAGTTAACTGGTATACTGTGCTTATAATATCACATTCTAGAACCTAAAATTTGACATAATTTTTATCATTATATTTCTATTTAAAGTTGAGGTTCCATGTTGGTTCCACAAGGATGTGGTTCCATCTCTGGCTCTCTATAGGTGATGATTCATGAGTGGAAATCTTAGTACT